CAGCAAAGTCCCTCAAACTTCTCTGAAAGCTGACGTTTTCTGGCCTTGAATCTAGATGACTGTACTGACCTTGGTACCTCTGTGCTGGACTTAACGTAGGATTCAAATTCGAGAGCTCTGGCCATTGCATCCTGCATGGTAGAGGGGTGTGCTTGCTTCACTTGTATCTTAAGTTGTGGACTGTCCAAGGCATCTAAACTGATCCCTCAGCAACAACTTGAGGAGATAGGGTGGTGCAGTTGGGTAGGCCTTGTGTGCCATGCTCTCCAAGTATTGTGCCAGCTCTTGCAGTCTCTCCCCTTTAGCACAGACTCTCGTCCTGAACCTGGCCCTGTAGACTTCTGACTGGTTTGGGGTTCCGTACCTGAGTTCTAGAGCCGACACCAGTGTTTTATAGCTGTGACTGTCGGCTGCTGTCAACTGTCCAAGTATTTCCAGTGGTTGTCCCTTCAAGCTTGTTGCCAGATATGCAGTTTTCTGCTCCTCTGTCCACCCATTCATCTCTGCCAGTAGCTCAAATTGTGCTCTATATGCTTCCCACAGTGCCTTCCCATCGAATTCCTGTGGCTTCCTTCGCACTGGATCACTTCTATTACTGACATTCATATCTGGGATGTGACTTCTAACGGGACTGAATATGTCTGCATTAGGGTTTAGCTGCGGGCTGTGTAAGGGGCTTGCCATTGTCTAGGGCTGATTAAGTCAATGGTCAATGTATCATTCGTGTGTGAAAGACAATAGATCGTCCTTTAACGTATGTAATTCGCTTTTAAATTTACTAATGTTTTCCATTTGTACTTCTTGTTTCCTTTCTTGTTCCAGTTGCCACTGCTGTAATTTGTCTTCTTGTTTCATTTCTTTTTCCTCCAACAACTGCTGTAATCTCTCTTCTTGTTTATTTTCTTTTTCCTCCAACAACTGCTGTAATCTCTCTTCTTGTTTATTTTTATTCTCCTCCAACCACTGCTGTAGTCTCTCTTGTTTACTTTGCTGTTCGAGCTGCCATTGTTGTAGGTTTTCTTGTAACTGCTGTTGACTTTCTTCTTGTTTCTTTTCTTTTTCCTCCAACAACTGCTGTAATTTCTCTTCTTGTTTATTTTGTTGTTCAAGCTGCCACTGTTGCAGGTTTTCTTGCAACTGCTGGTGTCTCTCTTCTTCTTGTTTCTTTTCTTTTTCCTCCAACAACTGCTGTAATTTCTCTTCTTGTTTATTTTGTTGTTCAAGCTGCCACTGTTGCAGGTTTTCTGGC